CTTCATATGTGCAGGTAGTGGCTGATGATGGCCCTCACACTGCACTGAGCATTGCCCCGTGTTGTGCCATGCTGGTGCTGGCTGCATGCAGGCTGCATGCCAGCTGCCTTGTACCGGCCTTGTTGGAGCTGGGACCATTCAGGGGGAGCAGTGCAGAAATACAGAAATAACGCCAAGGAGTTTATTGCATGCAGAGACATCCTCTTTCTGAGGTCCCACATGGGAATATTCAGTAGCGTATTTATGGACCGGTATTAAAAATATATTCAGGTGGATTATGAGCACCTGGCTATGGGAGCATGCTGCCCAGAAGAAGAAGTGTTTTCAAAAAAAAAAGAAACCCTGAGTTCACATTTGCAGAAATAACAATTCCCTGTCGGCTGCTGTTTGCTTTAAGAGTCTGCTCCTGGAGCTGTGTAGTGGTACATCTGTGTCCCTGATCCTTTGAACCAAACCATCTTGTTCCATGGCTCAGGGGTGAAAATGAAAAATATGTCATAATGGTATCCTAAAAAAAAAAAAAGTAGAACTGAAGGGAAACATCTATACTTAATTCCACATTTTTGTAGCTGTTAGAATCGACTAGCATGGATTTATTAATGAATACTAAAGGCTTGGGACTGGGATTACTGTTTGAAGCTCTAGACATTGTGCTTATAGACCCACCTTTTCTGTCTGCTCCAAAACTGAAATGTTGGTTTCCTGCTTGGCAAGAAAATTCTAAAATCAAAAGCAAGAAGAGACTTCCTCCCTTTTCGCTCTTCGTATTTTTCTACCATAATGACAGTGCATTTTACAAACAACATTAAGTAACCTTCAAGACGGTGTCAGCTACCAGGTTTTAGTAATGAGGGGAAAGTCAGGCAAGCCAGACCAACACATGGCTAGTCAGGAATCAAAACAAAATTGTCTGATCAAGAATCACCCGCATCCCTGTTTTCCTTCTAAACTGCTGGGTGTTGTGTTCAGCCCATTGATTAATGGCTTAGCACCGTTTTAATGGAAGCAGAGAGGCAGTGTCATTGGCAGCCCAGCAGCTTGCTGTCTTCCTCCAGCCCTGAGGCTTGTCTGGCTGCCCTACAGCACAGGACTGGGGCTGGGAGCTGGAAGCTGGGTGCAGTGGGCTGCAGGACACCAGCTAGGACAGGCAGACCCTCAGGTAACCTTTGAGCTCTGGCACTGTTGACTTTGCTTATCGGGGTTAGGTAATAAGGATGTGCAACAATAGCTGCTTTTACCTAGAGAACAAAAGTGCAGAGATTCCTCCCACTCAGCCCAGAACAGCCAGGGAATGATTTCATGGTGAAATGAAACCAAACTCAGTGTCATCTGGCCTGGGGCACTGATTGCAGTGTGGAACCATCCTGTTCTTGCTGCAGCTCCCCTTGACTGCATTTCCCAGCCCTTGGTAATCCTCGTTCCTCCTTCTCTTGTGGTGGTTGACCCGGATCAGTAGCTCCCCAAAGAGGTGTTTTGTTTTTGCATTAATTTCCATTAGCTCTCACACCTCAGTGCTTAGAATTCAGTGAACAATAAAGAAAAAGGGTAAATCTGGCAACCATTTCCTTCTGTCATTGTATGAAATTTTTCAAAGCTAGCATTGCTGCTACATATTAAGAAGCAAGATGCAACAAGTCTGCAGTAATCTGCAGAATATTGGAATGTCCCAAGCTACGTGAGAAGCATGAAGTGAGATACCTGAGCCTTTCTGACACATACTAGTCAATGCAGCTGAAAGCAGATTTTACCACACTGAAAGTAATAGTTGCTATAAGGATGTTGGAAAAAGGTGTTTTTCCTAACAGTCTCATGTTTGAAATGTCCTGCCTTGAAATTTATTATAAAATTAATTCCAGTAGAGAAGAAATATAGCAAAGGAAATAAATAGATATTTGTTTTCTTTATCAGGATCCTCCAGTTATAAAGGTATGAAAATGAGCAATACTGCTAGGTTGAGCTGAATTAATATATATTTTAAATGAATGAAAAAGATGTTTCTTTTCTAGTTAGAAAAAAATCACAAACTCATAAATGAAATACATCTCTGGCTTTGAAATGATTGGTGTCTTTCTATGGCAGCTTCCTGAAAATGTCATATGAGATTACATCTGTAGGCCACTGAGTTGGTAAGCTTACAAACCCCATGCGAAAGGCAGTTGTCATTCCAAGAGCCTACAGGCTAAGGCAGTGCTTTCAAAGACAACTGCTCACTTGTGATACCTTTCAAAAAGATCTTACTTTCCAGAAGTGCTGGGTACATGCCGTTAGAAAACCAAGATCGTTACAGAAGTCTCCATCTGGGCATCAAAAATTATAGGTTACAAGTGGGAATAAGTGCTTCTAAAATCTTGACCTCGAAAGATAAAATTAGAAGAAACTCACTAAATCAGTGCTAACCCCTTGCTTTGCTTGCTCGAAGTTCAGAGCTGAACAGAATTACTGCTCTTCCCAAGGTCAGTGTCACTGGTGGCTTCCAGGCTCGGTTACGCTCACACCACGGTGTGATGGAGCTTGGGTGTGGATCAGTCCCTGTTCTTTGTTTGTGGGCTTCTCGTGGCCCGTGATTCATGTAAAACCCAGACATGTGCACAGGCCAAGGGTTCAGACAGAGTGGATGATGGGAATTCCAGCATGGGAATCTTGAGGCCAGTTTGCCCGTTTTATTTTAGTTCTGTCACTCTGCGGATAGGCGAGATATTTTTGATTGCTTGGGAGAGGTTTTTATATTTCCCCTTCCTTGCAGCACATGAGCTATTTAGCCTCAAAAAAGAAGCCTTATTTCTCCTTTGTCAAACAATCACATCTCTGCCAACGCTGCAAAAATTCCAGTTCACCCAGAATCCAACATTTTTGAGGTTAGGTACCTGTTTGCTTCTCTCCAAATTTAAAACCTTCCCCCAGATTTCCCCTTCATCTTCACACCTGCTTAATATCCCCATTGCTTCCTTTTCTGCCCCAGGGGATGCAGTCAGTTATCTGCATGTGCCAGGTGAAGGATCAAAACTTCCCTGTCAGTTCTCTCATAGAATAAACATTTGTTGGGTCCCAAACATGTGCCTTCTTCAGGCCGCTTTGGTGGGTTTGTCATGGAGCAGATGACAGCAGGTGCTGGTAGGATCATTGCACTCAAGGACCTTGAGAATAAAAGTAGTGGAAACCAAAATGAAAGCTAGCACTGTAATTGAGTGAATGTGCCTAAGTAAGGAAGAAAGTAGCTAAGAAGAGTGAGTTTTATTGTTCTTTTATTTCACAGACCATATGTAACCTGAGGAATAAGGTGTTTATAGCAAGGTCGAGACTTATCTTCTGTACAATCTCACTCGGTGCTGTTCCAGAACCTGCAGGTTTGCATACCGCCCATTCCCCACACCCAAGCAATCCTTCATTTCCATATCTGCAGTGGTTTGGGGCTCCAGAGGTGAATGTAGGCAGGATGGCAGAGCCCACCAGTTGCACCCTGCAGAGCAGAGCTCTGGCCACTGCCAGCCCAGGCTTCAGTTGACATGAATACTGCCTTGGCAGCATCAGAATCAGCTTCACTAGTGGGAATCTGACTCCCAGAAAACCCCAAAGATTGTGTTGAGTAGTGAATACCTATTTGCCACTCTCAATTACATTTGGAATGTCATGGCAGTCAGGTGAAGTCCCTGGTGACTGGAAAAAAATCACACCCATTTTTAAGAAGGGTAGAAAGAATGACCCAGGGAACTACCAACCTAACAGCCTCCCCTCTCTGCCAGGGAAGATCATGGAACAGAACCTTCTGTAAGCTATGCTAAGGCACATGGAAGACAGGGAGGTGATACAGGACAACCAGTGTGGCTTCACCAAGGGCAAGTCCTGCCTGACCAACCTAATGATCTTCTATGATGGCATAACTGCATCAGTGGACATGAGGAGAGCCACCAATGTCATCTATCTGTACTTCAGTAAAGGCCTTTGACTCAGTACCCCACAACATCCTTCTCTCCAAATTGGAAAGATATGGATTGGATGGGTAGACTGTTTGATGGATGAGGAGCTGATTGCAAGATCACGCCCAGACAGTGGTGATCAATGGCATGATGTCCAGATGGAGATCAGTGGCAAGTGATGTTCCACAGGGGTTAGTACTTGGACCAGTGATCTTTAATATCTACATTAGTGACTTTGACAATGGGATTGAGTGCATCCTCAGCAAGTCTGTGGACGACACCAACCTGTGGAGTGCAGTTGATATGCCTGAGGGTTGTTGCCTGACAGACTTGAGCAATGAGCCCAGAAGAACCTCACAAGATTCAACAAATCCAAGTGGAAGGTCTTGCACATGGGTCATTGCAACCCCCACTATCAGTACAAGCTGGGGAGTGTAAGAATGGAGCTGCCAAATCACTGCCAAAAAGGACTTAGGGATACTGGTGGACGGGAAGCTGGGCCTGGGCCAGCAATGTGCCCGTACAGCCCAGACAGCCAACCATATCCTGGGCTGCATCAAAAGAAGCATGGCCAGCAGGGTGAGGAAGGTGATCCTGCCCCTCTGCTCTGCACTGGTGAGGCCTCACCTGGAGAACTGCATCCAGATGCGGAGTCCTCAGTACAGGAGAGACATAAACCTGCTGGAATACGTCCAGAGGAGGGCCACCAAAATGATCCAATGGACAGAACACCTGCCCTATGAATATAGGCTGAGAGAGCTGGGGCTGTTCAGCCTGGAGAAGGGAAGGCTCCAGGGAGACCTGTAGGTGGTTATGCGGTATTTAAAGGGGGGCTATAAGAAAGAAGGGGACATACTCTTAAACGGGGTCTATTATAAAAGGAAAAGGGGAAATGATGTCAAATTAAAAGAGAGTAAATTTAGATTTGATGTAAGGAATAAGTTTCTTACGGTACGGGTAGTGAAGCACTGGAACAGGTTGCCTGGTGAGGTGGTGGACACTCCATCCCTGGAGACATTCAAGGTCAGGAAGGACTCTGGGCTCTGGGCACCCTGATCTAGCTATAGGAGTCCTGGTTTATTGCAGGGGAGTTGGATGACCTTTAAACATCCCTTCCAAATCTGAGGATTCTGAGGTTCTACAATCTCTGAAGGTGGAGATTGCACAACCTGTAAGTTGTTCCAATGTTCAGCCACTCTCGCTGGGCATTTTTTCCTTGTATCTACCTGTAATATCTCTTACTGCATCTTGTGTCTGTTATCTCTTGTCTTTCTGCTTTGCATCTCAGAAGAGTTTGGCAGAGGAGAGAGGAAATTATAAGAAACCTCCACATAATCTTTAGTTATGTGATTGACTTACAGCTTTGTGAGGACTTTGAGGCAAGGAATAGCAGCTTCAGTGCCACAGACATTGAAGGTGCTTTACTACAGCAGCAGCCAAGTCTTACTGTCTTGACCAGCAGAAGTGGTGAGAAAGCCTCAATCTCTACCTTGACACTTGAACTTCCAGCATTTGGCTGTTGAGGTGCCTCAGTAGTTTATGCAAGCCCAGCAAGACCCAGGCCCTCTGGGACTCAGATTGGAGGAAGAGTGAGCAGTGCTTTAAGATGAGGCAATAAAATTCAAACAGCATTTGTTAAATCAGACAAATGATTGCTGGCCTGCACTTTACATTTATCTAAGAAATTGATTAAGCACAGAGTTTTTTGGTTGATGAGTAAAGTTGATTAAAGAAAGTGCCAGGGTCATAATGTATGTTCTAAGAGTAGTTTATCTTTACAGCAGAAATGCATTTGCTCAGCACAAACATGTAGTTGAAAAACATGCTAATCCCTTTACTCTGGTCTATGCTCACTGTCTGGTTTTGGTTTTCTGTTTTGTTTCTTACAGCCCCAGCAGAGAGCTCTCCATAAACATTTCCAGCCTGTAAAGCTGCTGTCCTGCCACTTGATATGAAAACGAACTTTCCTTCATGAAAAAACCATAATCAATGGCACTGCCAGAAGGTGACCTTGGAGGAGCGAAGACAAACTTGAAGTAAAATCAGCCCACTCAAGATGATGCATTCTGAGAAGACCTGGTTTGCTGTGGAGTAAAAACGTGGTGCATAATATCCAGTGCTAATTTGTTCAAAATGGTCATTGACAGACCTTTAGCTGGAAAATTTCTTCCAGTTTTCATCACTGTGCATAACTTTGGGTTCCCTTTAGGGGACTGCCTATGCCCTTCACTCGAAGTCCTGTTTTAGCATGGCAACTACTGGATTCTTCTATTATGTATGCAGATGGCATGATGTTTTAGGAAAAACTTACAGGAATTCTCCAATCTCCGTGGATATGTTCACATTACTACACCCCTGATAGAAATGTAGAAGTCTTGTATGTGTTAGTTTTGCAGTCTAATAGTGTTCCGTTAAACAATATCAGCACTTCATGCGTGCTTTCTGCACAGAATTGGCACAGCCCATATATATATCAGTCTTTTTAAATACCGAGGATACGTTTCAGTAGTTGTGCTGAGACTGCATCCAAACTGAAGTCCACTACTAGCATACCTTCACCGAGTCACAGTACACTGTGTAGATAGATTTGCACGTGGCAGAGGTGTGACTTACTTCATGGAGACTTGCAGAACAGCTGTCACAGAGGTAGCCAAGAACAGGGTTGGCTGAATGAGATGTAGGACACTGTGTCTGCTCTCCCTCCCATCCAGCAGATAGCAAAGGCTGTCATTCCTGGCACGCCAGTGTGTTTTCTTACTCAGTGAGGGAAAGGAAAGGGAGAGCACCCTTCTCAGAGGGCAGTTGGACCTAGAGTTTGGTCTACACTAGAAACAGAACAAACTGGAAGAGTTCAGATTCTTTATGCTGGCCACTGTTTATGTTTTGGGCAGGACTTGGGAATCACAGTCCAAACCAAATGCTCTGAAAAAGGTAATGCGTAAGACTGTACTTCTAAGGAGCAAGGACACTCCCTCCAATGGGGGCAGACTTCTTTGTTAACTTTTTCCACTTTCTATCCAAAAGCATATTTTGGAAGGAAATAGGAATAAGCAAACGGTTCTAATAAGCCTTTCGATATACTGTAGCAGGCTCAAGACTGTTGCATTCAATCTGAGCATTGATTTTTGTTCAGTCTCTGAATGGCTGGCTTCATCGCTGGCTGTATCACAGCTGGCTGTGGTACTGTTGTTTTTTTCCACGGGGATTTAGTGGAATTAATGTCTGTCCCTAACATCAGGACCTTCTTGACACACTCTTTGTAATGAACTGATGCCATCAACATGCTAAGGGGTCTTACCTATTTGTTCCTTATTTCTTTAAAATCAAAGGTAGCTTTTGTATATTTAAAAACTGTCATTCTCTCCAACCTAATAGGCAGGTACCATACAGTTGCTATTAGGGTATATGCCAGACTGTGGGTGAGGTGCCATACAGGTGTGAAGATGCAGCAGTGGAGAGAAGGCACAATTACATCAAGGTAAAAGCACCTTTTTAGAGCAAATTCCTGTGTTATGATACTTAAAAACTCTTGTACAGTTCATTGCTGGAGAATTCAAGGTCAGCCTCTGAGGGTGCCTGTAGAATCAACAGATAAACTTTCAGATGAGTGCAGGATTAGGTTACAGCTCTCCACCCATCTCAGATTCAGCATGCTGAATACTTCTTAACTATTCAAGAAGGAAACTGATGGCCAAGATTTTCAGAAGTTGCTAGTGATTTCTACTGGTTTGGGTCTTTCCATGGATTTTCAAGTGCATCTCCCAAAAAGTATAAAGCAGTAAGCTTTATGTCCTCTTTCTGAAAATCCTGGCCCTAATTTTAAATTTATTGGTGTACAAGTTCTCCTTATGATGTAAGAATCTTTGCCAACAGCAGCATTTGCACTTTTTAGAGCTTTTCATAGTATTGCAGGTTGGAATCTGATCCTTATTGAGAGAAGTGGCTGAGCACCTCGCAGAATTCCATTATAAGCTCCAGTAAATTTTACAGCTATTTCTGCTACAGATTTTAAAATGCACTCTGGCAACTGACACCAATTTTGTGTTGGTATAGCAATTAAAAAAAAAAAAAAAAAAAACAACTTGAATATAAATTATTTTCAAAAGGAGAATGCTATAGTCCTGCAGTAGAAATTCTCTTATTTTATTATCCAACAAAAGAATTTGGCATAATTTGAATAATAAAAGAAGAGCTATCAGAGAGTATTATCTGAAAAGGTCATATGAGAAAAATATGAGTTAGGCAAAGAGCTGCTAGAAGCATTTTTGCATCAGTGTTAGTTTTGAACATCTTCTAGTATATGGTCATGAATTTAGATGTGTGCACTTCTCCCATTAAAACAGTTTGTTTTAAAAGCTTCCCAGGATTCTAGCTACGGTGATCTAGAAAACCAGTGTTACAGCCCCTGAGAAATGTGAAAACAAATACAGACCCTCGTGTAGCCAAACTCAGTGAGAGCTCTGCTGTAGGTGCCCATGGACCAAGCTCATTTGGCAGTGCTGTAGGTCTCCATCCTACAGACAGCCCATGCATGTGGAGAACTCTAGGCATAAGCAAGAGTAGTTCCCTCGTGCCCCGCGACACTCCTCACATGTGTAACTGTCGGCAGGAGCCGTAAGGAAAGCACTGTACTTTCTGGCTTGTATTTAACTACTCGTCGTGTTTGGATGTTTTTAATCGCTGTTGTTCTCCCAAAGTAGGCCATGCTTCCTCAGGGATATTTATGAAATCGTTCTGCAGCTACTGAACAACTATCTGGATCCCAGCGTATTCTTCCGAAAACTTTTTAATATAAATAAACATGTGGGGGAGATTTTTTTTTGTTATTGTGAATGGGGGCAGGTACTGCATTCTCGGAAAGGCTCTTGAGTGCAGACAATCAAGTCTATTGCATTTTTTATGCTGAACACCTTATTAAGAGCGGACACATCCGCTTTTGCCTGGGTCGCAAGAACAGTTCTGTGGAAACAATGCTTTATCTCCAGTCAATAAATCATTTATGTCGAGAGTGCCAAAGACCAAGTCAACATGAAAGGGAGTGAATAAGTTATTCCGGCAGAGGAAGTGAATTTAAATATGCTCAGAGCCATTAGTTCTGTGCAAAAGAGTAGAAGATGAATGCTATTTTAATAAAAGAGCAATTGTCAGCCCTGTGGAGCTGGATACACTCGCAAAGCCCAGTGCTACCATTGCACTGATCACTGCTCACAGCTCCGAGACGATGGAGCAGCAAGCATCCCTGTGCAGTGCCTGGCCACTGCTCTCTGGGCAGGGACACGCAGAGAATCAGCCATCCTCAGTGCTTCAAATTATGCCAAGTGCAACATAAGAAAACCAGAGGAATTGCTCTCCTCAAAAAACATGCTGCAAAAGAAAACATCTTTTGCACCGGTTTAGTCCTTGCTTTTTCTCATCTGCATGGCTCTCTTTGCCTGAAGCCCCCATCACTTATTCTCTGAGGAGAGCACAACTCCCCAGGAGGGGAGTCTGCAAAAGCCTTGCAAGCCCCTTAGCCTTGCTGGTCCATCTGTGTCATGCTGTAGCAGTGGGCTCCTTCCTGGCTGGCTGCTTCTCGGCAGCCAGACTGAAAGCAGCTGCAGTGTCATTAAGGAAATCAAACCATTATAAATGACAAAATTATTTGTTTGTTTTGTTCCCCATTTGCAGAAGACCCTAGGCCAGGCCCCCAGCATACCTACAACAGACTGTTCCATCCTTCTCCTGAGATGTGTTGGTTAATGCCAGCTGTGGGGCCAGTCCTGAGGGATTTTGTGCTATAGCCAAAAGCAGCCTCCCTCTGCCCTCCACAAAGCCACGACATCTCCATTATTCAAAATAGTTCCAGGCAAGCAGAGTAAAATCCTGCATTTCTCATCCCCATCCCCTTTTAACTCTCTGCAGTCTGACTCTCCTTTGAAGGACCCTGCTACAAAGGCTATGTTGATTGACCCGAGTATATGTAAACTGGTCAGTAAGATTTTAATTTAAGAAGTCCTCTGTTATAATGAAAATTGATGACTGGGGGAAAGTATTACCAGCATTACCTGCAGCCTCCTATGGTAAAATGCTAGTAAGCCATCTGGAGTGCAAAAATGCCACCAACGTAATGCATGAGTGATTAGGCAGGCATGTGAGTTTAAATCAGCAAATAAGCAAAGCAGATGTTTGATGTGGGAAGCCAAAAAATGTAGGGAGGTCAGTGGCCAGTAGGCTAGGGCTGATGAGACCAAATGTGTTCTGCATCCTCATAAGCAGTCATAGTGAATCTGATGTTAGGTACAGCACGGTGGTTACTCACTGAGCGTGTGAAAACCAACAAATATTCTTGTTTTGTATTTGAAAGCAGTAGAATAAGGGAGTCGATTTTCACACTAAAATGTAATTCCTCCTACTCCATCAGTAATTATGGGTAATATTAAGCAGCAACTATCCAAACATACTCTTAAATTCACACAACCAGATATGTGAATGTAGGGAAACTTAAGCGTAAGATTTTTCAGAACTTAAAAGCATTGAAAGAGGCTTTAAGTTACACAAAAACAAACCAAACCCCAAACCAATAATGAAAAAGAACGAGTGACCTGATGCAGAAAACTATAGGCTCATTTGCTTCCTATCGGTCCGGGGTAAAATCATAGAAAGGTTGGTATGAAGCAATCATTAAAGCAATTAAAAATTGATAAACCCCTCCAAATGATTGTTCTAGAATGTATTGTGTCAAGTAAATTTATTATCATTTTTTGTGATATCAAAGGCTTGTTGATAAAGGAGGCTCTGCTGACATGCTATCCTTAGCCTCCTATAGATCATCTGTTTCTGATAAAGAACAAAAAGGCACAAGGCAGAATCACGATACACCACGCTAAGTGGATTAAAACTGATTAGTTGCTAGCTCACAAAAAATGGTTACAAATATGACATTATCATAAGTGAGACTATTTCTAATGAGCTCCTCCCAAGGTATGTTCTATTTTCAATATTCCTCCCAGAGAAACAGAAAATCACAGTTGCAGCATTTACAGATGACAAAGGCAGGTGTGTGCCATGAACTGGTGATGAATCTGGAGTGCTGCAAGTGCAGAAGCCAAGGGGAGGAGAAGAGCCTCCTTGGGGGCTTGGGAATGTGTCTGTAGTTGGGTGGCCATGAAGGTCAATGTCATCCACTCAACATCAGCCCCCAGGAGCTCTTAGGAAAGTGTCATCTCTGAGGAGGACCGTCAGTAGGTCTTGGAGGATGTCTAGGATCTGGCAACAGTGATATTACGGAGCTATTTGTGCCCATCTTTCATATATTGACAACTTGGAAAGATTATTTTCTAAAGCTCCCAGTGTCATTCAAGGGCAGGAAAACAGTTCTTATTATAGTGCTAGACTAATGAAGCTCAAGCTATTAATTTATCAGAAACGATGTGAAGAGATGACTCAATCTGCCTGCAATCACAACCTCTACCTGTGCAGGAAGTGCTGGCTGAGGCCAGGTAGTGCTTTTATTCAGAGGAAAAGGGAATGATGTGCTCTACTGGCTGGAAACAGATTTCAGGCTAGAAATTAAGCACAAATGCTCGACAGGGAGGATAATTACACATAGAGACAACTTACTTTCCATTACATTCTCCATCACGTAAGGTCGTTAAGTATATGCAGAGCTTTTTTCTAAGTCAATAAGCTGTACCTCAAATGGAAATGTAGGTTCCGTTCAGTAGTCCCGGATGAGGCAATTAGGTGTGTGCTGTGTAAGAGCTCAGCCTGGATCATCACTACATCATCAGATGCAAGGTTCTGAGTTGAGATGTCTTGAAGTTTAAATACAAAAGGAAAGCAGGCCCACCTGCAGGTCCACTGTTTTCAAACAATATTGTCTTAGAGAGCTATGAACTGACCTGCAACTGGTGGGAGCTGCAGGTCTCCTTGCATTTGCAAGGTTCTTCTGCATGTGACTGAAGAAAAGAACAAAACAAGAAAGGACAAGAGAAGCTGCTGGCCATACAGAATTATTCTGTTGTTGTTCAGTAGTAACAGCTTGGGATAAAGTCCCACACCCACGTGACCCATGTGAGCATGCAGTGAGAGCCATGGCTTTGCCTCTTGATCAAACAGGCACCGTTTTGCTGGCATGAAACAGGTTTTATGTTCAACAGCTAGCAGAGGAGCTGAAGAGCTGATTGGGAATTGCATTGTGTTGCTTTGCAGTTGAACAAGGTATGAAGCCAATTGTTCCTGCTCTCCCATTGAGCCCCTCTGCAGCTGGTGAACGGAGCCCTCATAGTGAAATGAGTTCAGTGGGATAACCCAGAGCAGTGAGCACTGCGAGCACTATTGCAGGTGGCTGCTTTGAATATTGTACCTTCAAAATAAGCAGGAGTGCTCAGCTTCTTATCCAAGTCTCATGAAGCTGCTGCTCTTAGGTACAAGGCAAGCACGAAGCTATGAGCCGCCTTTCAGAGTTCTTTGTTGTGCTGTAGAAAATGGTACAAAATAGGATGTGTATTTTAGAGAGTAAACAGTTCACACAGGCATAAGAAACCATAAAGGCAATACTTACTGCAAATTGGTATTGAATCAATATCAAAAAGCTGGAACAGAAAGGGACATAGCTAAGAAGATAAAGATCTTTGGGGATTCTTGCTCTAATCCAGTGTGAAATCCTAAGAAAATGAGTCTGGCGTAGATTTATTGTTCAGAGAACATTGGTCAATACCAGCTGCAGTCAGGTACATTTGCAGGGTTGCTGGATTATGTGCCAGCAGTGGAGCAGTCCTATGATGGCTGCACAAGGGCTGCCTCTTCCCTAAAAGTGGGATTTCAGCCTTGTTGTAGGACAGGCTTAGTCAGAATGAGATGAGAAGCTCCTTTCTGCTTTTAATTCCAAGTGTATCTAAATACCTTGTCAGAAAAAGAAAAAATCCTATGTACTGTTGTTATATTTATAATCATATTACTTCTATTAAGCACTTGCCTAGAATTCATCTATTTAATATCATGTTACCAAATTAAACTGTGACATACAGATTATTTTTTTTTAAAGCAGGGAAACCAATATTACAGCCCAACTGCATGTAAGCAACAAAAGGTGTGCAGAGAAAAAAAAAATCTGCCCATGGGATGCTTAGGGGACCTGTTTGG